CAACCAGTGACAGGCACAAGCTTTGACATCTGAACTTCTATCTTCGCTCCTCCAAATCCAAATTTAAGTTCTTAGGTCTTGGTAACCATTCTTTTTGAATAAAATAATTATTCTCACTCATATGAAGGATTTTTCTGCCATTATATAGAAATTATAAAGTTTCAGATCTTATAGAAGGATAGATAAAAAAAATAGATAAATTAGCTGGTACTAAGTGGAGTTAGTTGAGATTATTTACATCCAATGATCATAAATGGTTGGGCTTTCCTAGCAAGCAAATCAATAGAATCAATTTACATGTAACCAGTGGATCTGCATCAGTGGATCTTGTATAACCATAATCCTTTTGCAGACTTCACCATGAATCCATTAACATAAGGTTAAATGACTTTTTAAAACAGATAAATCATTTTCCTATTTCTGTACCCTTAACCCTTAAGCGATTTAGAACCCTTATAACCCTTATAAAATGATTATTGTTTTTGTATTCCATTGTTTTTATAGTTTTTATTGTTTTAATTTCATTACAGTTTTTATCTGAAGTGTTTGTAGTTTCTTTACATTACATGCATCATCAACTTAAAAATTATTCAGTTCAATTATCAACTTCTCACCAACAATTTTCTATTAGTGATTTATATTATGCTGATATACTGAATAAATTCATAATTTGACTAGTTCTTGATTAGATCTACAACCTTTTAGAAGTCTCATTTTTAAATTTTGCAATTTTTGTTGAAAGAATAAAATTTTTCCGACAAATGCGCTATTTTCAATAGTGTTTTGAAATTTTGCAATGATTAAGCTAACATAAAATTTTACAAAAGATTTTAATTTTGTGATGAAACGTTTTACTTATTTTTAAGCAAAATTTGCAAAAAATTAAGTTCAGCAAAATTCACTATTAAAATTAAAAATATATAAAATCATATAAATATAAAATTAAAAAATAAGTGAATAAAATTAGGTAAATAGATAAGAAAGAGGAGTCTTATAGAAGTCGGCAAATTAAGAGAATCTGGATGAATCTCGGTATAATGACTATTTCAAAATTTTCTAATTAGAAGCTATTATTTCATATAATGAATTATGATATTTTTTTAACTTTATTCTTTTTAACTAATTCTACTAAATAACAAAGCTTTTTCTAATCCTAAATTTTAATTATAATGCTTAGCAGAATATTTCAATTAATTTTTAATTAATAATTTAAATAGATAATTTTACAATTTTCGAGTGAAATTTCACTAAAATTTCCTTAAATGTGTGCGCAAAAAAAAGTATTCAGCAAATGCTAAAAAAGAAAGTTGCGTTTTAAAAAATTGCGACAAATTTGGATAAAATCCGGAACGAGGCATTGTGTTTTTTTTATAAAATAACTGTATAACCAATATTGTAAATATTCTACAGTGCAATAGTATAATAAAACAATATAAAAGCATCCACAAAAGTTATTACCGCTTATCAATTTTACCAATGCAATAATTTTAAATGAAAAGATAATAAAATTTTAAGGTTTTTGAAAATTTCAACTGATTTCCAGTTGATTGCAATTACTTATATGAAGCAATTGGCAATAAGAAACTGGATTACCAAGTCTAAATCAATTCGAATAAAATTAGTAAGGATTATTCGATTGATGACCTTTGTTAGCATAGTTAATTTTACTGTTCCAAATAAAAAACCCGAGTGATCGACATATTCTGCAAATGTGTTAAATGTACTTAATATTCTAAGAATCAACCTAAAGCATTGCAAAAAGGAGAAACATAACCTTTGAAAAAAGGCTAGTAATTATGTTTCTTTAATCTCCAATATTAATTTACTATGAGATATATATCCTCGATCAAATTATTTTACTTACAAGGCGAAATTTTATGAACCTGGCTACAAAAGAATAATAAAAAGGCTTGGCTCAGACAAAAAAAACAGTAGTCACTAAGACAAACTTCCACAATTCCACAATTTGGAAATCTAACTTTATGAAATACTTGTGTGGCAAAGTTTGTCTGCAAAAAGTAATTAAAAATTAATTATTACAAGAAAAATTAAAAAAGCATTTAAAAAAGCCGGAAAACCTCATTAATATCATAATTAGCTTATTGGCTCTCTTATTTTCTTATAATTTTCTAGTATCCTTCCAGAACAAATAAAAACTTAAAATGCGATATAATTAGGCCCTCCATTATGCCCTCCATTCTATATATTTATATAAAAAAACGTTTACTTCAACTTTACAACACTGAGCTATATTCTTTTGATAACTTTATAAACTTTATGGCTTTACTTTTCGTGCTCAAATGCTATTTTTTTATCAAACTCCGTAAAAGAAAAACTCATCCAAGTACTTCCTACAGTGTTGAATTTGTCCAAATATGCCATTTAATGGATGAATTTTTAGAAGATATTTTGATATAATTGCATGATGATATACTTTATCTGAAAAATTTGTATGTTTATAGGAACAGAACAGAGTGGATTGTGTATGAGATTATGTGTTGAAATTTGAGTTTCAGATTCTGCCTCTGTCATGAGTGACCCATCATAAAAAATCTGTGTGATACTAGCAACCCACTTGCATTTTTTAAAATATTTGTGTTTGTCTTACTGAATGATTGTAAACTGCCTGTAATGTAACACTGGATAAAATACATGCATATATAAAAGCATAAATACATGCTGTATTTCAGTAATAATTTATGAATCCTCAACAGTAAGGCCAGACTGTACTTGCGATCTATATATGACAAGTGGCAAGTGATTTACTGTGAAAGTTTCAGACGCAACAGCCAAGTGAGCTAATCAAAAATGGTGAACTTTAACCCCTTAACTTTTATCTCTTATCTTCTAAAACAGCAATTTTCTTCACTTCGAAATTCACTTCGAAAACTCAATTTTAATTAAGTTTTTTCAATGAAAAAATTTTTGATCATAAATTCTGTTTCGCCATTTATTAGCCTTAAGGCAACGTGCAGACAAATTTTAATAAAATATCGGTCAATTTGAGTGGTTGCTAGATTGATCAACTTTATAGAAAGTTTAAAATTTTCCATATTATCCTAGATACAATTAATTAAAGAAAATACCTTATTAATATGCATCGAAGATCAAAATTTATCTTATCTTTATCCTATTCAAATGTGATTTATACACCTTTTGTCGAGATTTCTTTATATTTCATTCATTTGAGTGTAAATGCAATTTCCATAGAAAAATAGATGCTTAGCTAATTTTCGAACATAAAAAGATTTAATGTTTATTTTGAAGTAAAATGCGGGTTATTTTAGTATAATTAATGTTGTGCGATGTTGGAACAAGAAAAGAAAAACATCACATTATGAGGTGATTTAATCCATCAAATTTTTGAAACTTTTCGGCTAGAAATTTTAGATCTTCATGAATATCAATTTCCCATAAAGAAGGAATTATAAGAAAGGTAAGAGAAAGGAAAGATGAAAAGCAAAAATTGCTATGTTATTACATTTGACCTAAGACGATGTGTCACATACTTGGGAAAATACTAGCTTTTTAGCAAGTTGCTCATTTATAACAGAATCTGTAAAGTAAACTACACTGTATAACCTTTACGATACATGACCCTTAAGTCAGAATAAATCGTGTTCAGTGAAGCAAAAACTATTTTATCACAAACAATATTTAACAATTTTGCGTGATGGCGATTTCATTGCTTTTCAGTCATATTTAACAATTTTGACGCAGGAAAAGGTTTTGTACGATCCACTTAAATAGCTTTTTCGATAGCGAAAAATGGATTACAAATTCACCATCTGGTTTCAAAATAATTTTAAAAAATCTATTTATATCCTCTAAAACATTCAATTATGTAATTTTGTGCATTTCATATGGAAAACTTTTAGAAATGGCAAATTAGATTCTAACAACAAAATCACCATGTTCACGAACAAAACAACTTTAATGAAAACTTCTGCTCGGAAACTGGTCATATTTTCGTTTATTTGCTTTAGAGGAAGGTTCGAGCGGATATTTATAGGTTCATACATACCTCTATCTAACACCTCTGGCTTGGTTGGTTCCACTGATTATTAGGGAAATGGAACCACTAAAATATAGGGTATGCCATGTTTCAAATTTCAATTTTAAGAATAAGCTTAAGTCAATAAACTAGGATTGAAATTGTTATAGCTTGATGTCTTAGACCAAAGAATACAGCATTCCACCATCTTATCTTTATTTACCGTTTGATTATGTAAAATAAAATTATTATTATTGCTTTATAATATTTACTTCGAGCTATAATGCCATTTTGACATAAACAATATTTGAAAAGCGTATATATTTTACTCAGTACTTTACTTTTTGTTTTCTGGCTATTTCAAATAAATTCAAACTCCAAGCCTAAGATCCAGTTTTTCAAATAGAACCAGATTAATATCTTCATGGTTAGTTCAGAGAACCTCTCAAAAAATGTAAATGTAAATTTTTTTTTTAAAGAAGGTAAATTTTCTCTAAATGATCGAAAAATATTGTCCTTCGAAAGGATAAAAAAACTGTTGGAATTAAAAAACAATTAAAAAGATTATAAAAGGCGTTCCAAACAAAAACTTACTGAGACACAACTCAGAATTTGGGTCAATAAATTTTCTAAATTCCAAATCATTTATAACTTTATTTACTAAGGCCACATAAATATTTCCTTCATAATGTTTCAGACATATGGAATCGACAATTATATTTTTGAACAATATTTTACAATCATATTTTATAATTTTAACTAAAATTTTTCGAATTTCACAAGACTCAAAATTAATATATAAATATATTATAATAAATCTAAGCCGAAATTATAAAGTCTTCGGAAATAAGTGCTTATGTAGAATAATAATAATAACAATAATAATAATATGTACATTGAGATCTATTGAGATTTTCCTTATTGAGATTTGAACAAGCACACCGAGATTTTAGAGCCATTCGGGAAATGAATTCATAATAATTCAAATCATACGAGAAGGTGACCTTTAGCGACAATTCTCATGGTGCGTAGAATTCAAAATGCCTGGAGAAACGTATTCATTTACACTGAGCATTGTTTTTGAGTATTGGCTTGACGATGAAGTTGAGCTATCAACTGGAGATGAAACTGTTTCATCACTCTGAATACTTGTCCATCGAGGTAAGATTCGATATTTTTGATCCCAAGGAATTTCATACCTAAATTTTAAAATAATTAGAATCGCAAGAGTTTTTGGTAGTTGCACTTGAATTTAAAAATTAGAAAATTTTTGAATTATCACCAGCTGAAATATCTGCAATAATAATAACTAATATTTTACTTGCTACTATTTTCTGAAGTGCATGGTGATTCTATTACTGCAAAATTATGCGAACATCCCACAAATCGTGACTTTTTAGATGAGTATATTTGTTTTTGTTGCAAAAATGCTTTCAGCAAGCAAGCGAAAGCAATGCAAGAAATCGTTGCAACAAATGCTAGTATTATTATGGCGCCAAATAACCAGTGATCGTCCGTTAAAAATGTTCGAATGAAATCGAATTTCTGATCATCCTCCGCATACTAAATCAAAAAAAAAACCCATGCGATTAGCAATACCAAAATAATGCTGATTGATAATAATGATAAAATAATACTAGCAGGAATAATGCCTCATTTAAAAAAGAGGATATTTTACTTGGTTTTCAATAACAGTTACATCATTTGATACTGAACACCAAGGACAACGTTCCTCAAATTTTGTTAGGGCCAAAGTTACATTGAAACATCGGCCTTTCAATTCAATCATCATTTTACCATTTTCATCTTCCATAATTAATTGATGGTCAAGTCTCATACGTGTAGATATCTCAAACATATTTTAATCAAATAATAAATCATCAAAAGTTGCTATGGCATTTAACAGAATCCGTAGAAATACAATTGTCTTTTCTCGAGTAAACCCAGCTGAAATAATCTAATGAGAGCTATAAGAATTCACAGATCCAAATACCTGATTATTTTTTGATTGATCGTACATTGTGAAATTTTTTGATAAATCACATATTCTTGGAAATTTATAAGTGGGATCGATCCCAGCAACTTCTGAACTTATGGTTATCGCATTTGGCGTGCCATTTTCCCAACTACTGATGAATGATCGCGGTTTATCCTTAAAATATTTATTGTTAATATTTAAGCATTTAACGATTAAAATTATTTAAAATAATAAATTTTGATTTTGATTTTGGAACTCAATTTACATGCATAGACAAAAAAATTGTCACGAATTTTTATATAGAGTTTCGAATTAAAAAAAAATTTTAATGAGGAAAAACTTTAACTTTAATATATAAAGAAACATTAAACATTAAAGAAAAATTCATTGTAAAATTTGGAGTGGACTATTTGCAACAATGCTTTCATTGTCAACATTCACTAATGAATAGAGGTACAGGATGGTTCCAAGCATTACTCCCTAGGAACGTTCAGAACAGAATTACAAAAGGTTTCCCATCAACGCCATACGACATTTATTGTCAACATTCTCTTAGGGAGATTCCTTCTCTTAGTACAGATGGCAAATTTTTCTCACATCAGTAATAAAAAAATTTGAACATCAGTTTCATTCTTAATAATTTCATATGAATAAACTTCGCGTAACTCAATTCTTCATTTGCTCACCAAAAGACCATTCTCCCATAAGAATTAATATCAAAATATAGTGTACCTGAAATTGTCCATCACCAATGGTCCAACTCTTGATTAACTGAATATTGCTAATTTCATTGAACATAATAATTCGGAAACGAGATTCGTGACATCCAGCTGTTGTTAAACATAGCCGTTTCCATTCAACTGACATTATTTCTATCGTTATCCAAAAAACTCCATGCACTCGATGCCAAAAGATTGCTGCGATTAAGCAATTTATTATGGATTTGAGCATTTTCTAAAATAAATACAGTAATTATGATATTATTTTCATTTTTTAGCCTTAGCGAATTGTATATTGATATATTAATGTATATTAATATTTATTTTAATATTTATATATATTTTCTTTAGAAAAAAATTACAACCTTATGTTGATATAACTGAAGCAAATAAGAAACAAGGATTTTCATACAAATGAAATAATTTGTGATTGACTATTTAGAATTAATAAAAATAGCTCAAGATTTTTTTAAATAATTAGCTCCTGCTTAGGCGCACTCTGACAGTTGTTAGTATGAAAAATTTTTGCCATGGAGTTACTTCGCGATGATGTTAGAGATGGAAGTAAGCATGGATCGCCAGCATCGTTCAGGTTTCAGATTTGTCTGATACAAGAGTTTTTAAGATCAAGTAAATCTAATTAATTTTTATCGCTCTTTTTTTAAAATTGCGGCCATAGTCATTCGAGGATCAAGCTACATGTGGATATTAACGATATCTTCAATTCTCCTCAATGGGCCGAATAAATGACCTTAGGTCGAAGCATTATACCACTCGACCATTCTTGCTCCTAATCGTTTTATACAATTCAATGCACCGTTCAATTTCTGTGAAAACTGGCTTAATTTATAAAACAATAGTTAAATAAAATAACAATTAAGAAATCTCAATAGCGACCAGAAAAATAAGTTAATAGACAATAAGATAATAGACATAGTGACATTTGTCCTTATGGTAAAAAAAAGTGGATTTTGGATATTGAAAAAATTAGCAGTTACTATTATTCAAGAACTAACATCATTGCAAGCAATTACTTTAAATGGATAACTATCATCAGAGAAAGATTCACGCCTGAAACTTCGTCATTTATTTAGTTGTGAAAGAACTAAGACGGCACGGCAAACCATGGTGAAAGGTTAATCATTGCTTTCGAATGCACCGAACATACATTTGCACAGGCGTGGTTAGTCAAAACCAGTCTCCGCCTAAATATGAGTTATTTGGTAGCATTAAAAAGATAAAAAGATAAAAAAGATAAAAGATAAAAAAGATAAAAGATAAAAAAGATAAATATATATTAAAAAAATGGGTCATTATTAATGATTCATGGATTATTAATCGGCCAACTTCTGAGCCAGATGAATAATACTACCAAAGGACTTATGTTTCATCAAGCAATAGCTTTTAGTTCATGACAGGAAATATAGTATCTGGATTTTAACAAGCTTTTATCATTCATTGATATAAATCAGTTAATTTAAGATTTTTAGGTATTTATTTATGGCCAATATTTTATTTTTATTTTATTGAAATGTGAGGCGGCGAAAGCCATAAATATTGCATTTTCTTCTACTAGGTATGCAATACTTGTTCTGTTGGAAGCATAAAAACAATCGGTTTTTTGTCATAAAATAATAAATAATAAAAAAAATATTTAGAGGGAAATATCAAATAATATCAAATAACCTCAATGAAATAAATAAATCTAGAATAATAAAATTTAAGTTATTTCAGCAGGGTTCTGAGAAAAATCCAATCATAAACAAATGAAATATTGATAAAAAAATGAGCAATGAAAGAACGAAAATATAGAAAATGGGAATTTAAATTGAGAACTATCCAAACTATTTGCCTGAAAGTTTAGATTTTATATTTACGAAAAAAATTTTTGATTTGCGCATTCAGCCAAGAGGTGCTGAGGAGAGCATATTTTTATCTCTAAGTGACTAACTCTATAACGAAGCGCATCATTCTAATAGTCAGTGGAACCAAACATTTTGTTAGTTGAAGAAGATTATGTACTAAAAACACTGTATTATATTTTTGTTACCTGCTTTATATAGTTGTTTTTGAAATAAAATTTGTGGATACTCTAGATTTTTGCACAAATTCAGGGGAGAAAATTATAAACTGGAGAAATTAAGAAAGAGTGCAGTCAAGTGTGGTTGCCCAAACATCTATAAACCTCTGCTTCAATAAATCTTTTAGTGCACCTTTTTACACGCTTGCATAAATCCTTTTAACGAATTACTACTTGGCTCTCATGACTTAGCAAAATAAAGAACTCAGCTCGCTCATGGCAAGAATCGATAACTAATACTTCTATTTTCATTACCCTCTTTTGTATTGGGAACTTTCTTTTTAGAGTTATATAGGTTCATGATTTTCTCACAGATAATGGAATATAGCTTTAGAATCATGCAAGCTTTAGTCTTCAGTTTCAGAACCATATAACCTCTTCCAGTTTCAATCAAACAAGGAAAATCTTGTAGATACTTATTGACTAATGGATTTTTATTATTAATATAAGTATATTATAATTAAAGTTTTTCAAAATATTAATAAATGCTGGCAAAAAGAAATATGAGAAGCAAAAGCGGCACTTAAAGAATAAGAGCAAATGGCTAAGTTGATAGGAAAGGTCAACTAAACTCGAGCTTTTATCCTTTGCCGATTATTTTTAGGTGACAGGGTATTAAAGTAGAAAACAGTAATGAGAAAAGACGACGTATGGCTAATCTAATATTTACAGCAGAAATCGGATCATCTACGCTTTCGATTAACTTTTTTTAAAAAGTTAAAAATTCGCGTAGATATAGCGATAAATAAGACTTTCACTGCACCATATGCGAAAAATAGAAATATCCGCTTCGAGTCGATTACTACTTAATTTTACAAAAATCCTGAAATGACAAATAGCTGCAAATGTAATTGTGAATATTTGCGTAAAACCTCTTTAAGAAATTTTCGACAAATATAATGAATAGAAAAATTCGCGTATGAATATCGGATTCAATGGCAAATTTTAATTTTGAAAAAAAAAACTTAAAAATTTGGGGAACTTAAAATTTGCAGTGATATCAGGTAAAATAAAGTTGAAGCCTATATAGTGGTAAAAAGTTTTTTGTGCTATTGTTTTCCAATTTACCCGATGTGTTGAAAAAATATTAGAATTGAAGAAAAACTGATACATTGATAACTGTAATAACTGATATAACTTTTACCCAATTGTAACGAATCTTTCAGGTAATGGGATGGTATAGTCCCACCTTTTATCGCTATTCTAATGACTCGTTAGCAAAAATTTTTGGCAGTATGAATAATGGTTTGACCAGAAATTGTGAATGCTAACTATTGTTGAAGTTAAAATTTCAATTTCAAATCCAGGTGGAATATCTGGAATTTTGTAAAGAGATTTGCTGCCCATTCAAATAATTTCCCTCTTTTCAAATACTGAATAAATAGGGCAAGTTCATGGGAGGTCTACCTTCTACTTTTCATGATTAAAATTTTTTTCTGCCGCTTTGCATCTGCCGTACTTATGAAACATTTAGTCAAAAAGAATATAGATGATTTAAATCGAAATCCGAAATAATCTGTCGTCAATCAACAACATCGAATATGTCATAGAAATAGTTTATAAAACATTTTATATAAAATCAACAACATCAATAAAACATCTATCTATAAGCGTAAAAAACATTTCTGATTTGGTTTCGCTGAGTTAAGCTGAAATGTTGGAGAGAATTTCGAGACAAAAGGGTAGATGAGTCGTCAAACCCATTCGGGTCTCGGCTTTTAATAGCTGAACCATGATGCTTGAAATGCTTGAACTGATATTTAAGCGTTTGCCAAACTTTTTTTGTTCTCTACAAATTATAGTGTAATTGCGGAGTACCTAAACTAAATTTGAATGTGGAAGTAAAAGCAAACAAATATTGCTTTTTAAGTAATTATTCATAGAAATCAAATCAATGAAAATATGAATATATATAAAAATTACAAAAATTACTACGTTGCTAATTTTCCATTGAATACATATGCACTCATTTTAAAATACCAGAAAATACCATAAAATACCAAATTATTACTACTGAAGACAAAGAAAGCAAAAGTAAGATTTTAGCGAGAACGATGCTGTTTTTAATATTAGGCAATGCTCATATCACAACTCATTCAACTTATTCATTGCTATACTTATTCGTTGCTTTATTGCTATAGTCGCTATAACTTATTCCTATACGTTTCTTTTGCTGGAATGTAATATGGAAATTCGTCTCGCACAAATAAGACATGGCAAGTGACAGAGTAAAAATGACATTCTTCAATAAAATTAGCTCAAAAATTCTTATTTAATTATTATTTATTAATTATTAATTAATTATTATACAATAGAATTTTTTAAATAAGTTTTCGTTGTATTCATTAGCGAAACCAGTTGTCTCAAATAATGCTACAAATAGATTCCAAATCCAAGAAACGTCCTCACGGGTCTTAGAAAAGATTTGAAATTCTGCAACTTTTAATTTGAAACTTCAATTTAATAATACTCTAGTCTTGCACAACTATTTACTTATTTTAGAACGGCAAAGCCTACCCAGCGACAGCGACTGGCGAATTTATGCCAGCTATATAGAGCAATCGTGGACCAATCTGGTATCATGTCTGCAGTTATTAAAAATAATGTTTTTATATGTTTAATAAAAATTTTTTGAAAAATACTACGTCCTTGTATAAAAGCGCGTAACTGAATAACCCTTAAACCTCGACAATTTAACCGCATGCATATTTTATATAATATTAAATCATAGAATATTAACAGCTGTAAAATCCTCAGTATCGCAGCATGATAATTATTAACTATCTCCTCACTTTTTTTTGTTTCTATATCACTCAATATAAAACCCAATCTCAGCACAAACGATAAGAATAACAATAAAACTTTGGACTTGAAGTGGACTGGTTAACAAATTATTTGCCAGTTAGCCACTGCGCCATGTGGTCAATTTTGCTTAAATAGAGGACCAGTGGGACGATAGTCCAATACGAAGCAAGCTCGATGATTTCACATAATCTGATATTGAGGGACTGAATTAACTGAAGGAGGAAATTTAAATTCACGCGTATTTACCTTTATTTTAAATAAAG